TAAATAAATAAATAAATAAATGAATAAATTATGAGTTGTGACCTGAAATTCATGCAGCGAGTGAGCAGTTGTTTCATTAAATTTCGAAGCAATTGACAAACATGCCACTGACAGAAGATCAAACATCCAGTTCTTCCAATCCTGATGAAAATCCAATATTTCAATTTAATTTACTTTATATACATATATATAATACATTTTCTTTCGAGTTCGTAATTTAACTCGTACTTTGCAACGAGCGAACGAGACGAACCGGTCCAGATAATTCACGGCTAGAAAAAGAGTTGCAATTGATAGATTCATCCTCTTATGAGCCTAATATATGAACAAGAATATAATTAAGATCAAAAGTCATACCAAAAAAAAAAAAAGTTAATCTCCTCTAAGAAGTTAAGTTGAATTTACCTTAATTAGCCAATTAACCGCATTAAACCGAGCACTTCGAATCAAATCATCGTTCACGAAAAGCTCCGAGTAGCCTCGTTCGGGCGCGTATGAGGCCTCTTTGCCTATAAACACACTCAAAGCCTCTTCACAATCTTTTTCGGTCCGAAAAACGTGATTTTCGACTTCATGGGGTTCGTCGTTTTCAATGTTGGGGCTCATTAGCCAAACTTCATTACACAAGAGACTTTCCATCCTCTACATAGGTAGAATAATTTAGAAAGAAAGATTGAGAATTTGAAAGAAAAGTTTCGAATTATGATTGATTTTATCTTTATGTACCACGTTTGTACTAATAAAGAAAAGTAAATGTATACGTGAATATATATATATGTGTGTGTGTGTGTGTGGTTACTATACATACAATGTGTGTGTATATATAGTTTGGTGGTGGTGGTGGTGGTGGTGGTGGTGGAGGACGGCGGTTTTGGGATGGGTTGTGGTGGTGAAGTTGGGATCATGAGATATAAAAATGGGGACACGTTTCTCATGACAAGTTGGTAAATGCTAGGAAATTTTTAATAAGTTATATTTATCTTTTATTGAGAAAAAATAAGTTGGTTAATGGTATGAGAATTATATGTAATAAGTTATATTTATTTATTAATCATATATATTCCATTCACATATTTTTGTGTGAGGCAAGTTGACCCGTTATACTTTAACAAAAGTATGTGTTAGACGGTTAATTTTGAATGGATAATCAAAATTAATCAAATAGTTATTTACAAAAAGTATTTGATGTTTTCATAATTTCATAAGATTGTAAAACGCAACAGTCTTATATTATAACGAGCAGATCCGCACTCGAGGTCGAGCTTTATGATACTTGAGTTCGGACTCGAGTTTTTATCGAGCAAAGTCGAAATTTAACTAGTTGTGTGCTCGACCTCAACTCACTTATCGATATTAACGCATCTAAGTCGAGCTTTTAACAGTCGAGTTTATCGATGAACTGAATTCACGACTCACTTACAACCAACATTTGTGGAGTTATTTTTGCCAGCGAATGGGTGGATTTTAACTGCAGTAATCTAACGCGTGATGGCACGAGGAAAGGCCACCCCACACTATACTATTCATAGTTGTGAGTTGGGCAAACATAATA